GTTACAAATCTGGAAAAGTTTTCATCAAGTCCTGTATTAATTAATGATAAGATTTCAGGCAGAACTGTGCACAGGGTGGTAGGATTACTGAGTGCAAAGGACCAAAAAGATATTCAAGAACAGCAAGTATTCTAATAAGGATGAAAGTTTTGGAGGAGCTGTTTTGTGGGGTTAAGCAGTGTGGGAAAAAAAAGCTGAAAATAGGCTGGGTTCAGCTAAATCACGAGAACTTGACATTCCAGCATATAGAATTTGGCCTATAGGCAAAGGGGAATATCAGCCCTGGAATTAAGAAAGCAGGCCATGGCAACTTCATGAATATAAGTTTCAGCTCAGATACTTACTAGCTGTTAATCAAGCTGTGTAATCACTTTATGCCTCAATTTTTCCACCTTCAAAATAAAATAATTATGCACACGTGTGCACACACACACATGCAGCTATTTTTGAATTGTTTAAAGAATTAGATTAAATGTGCTAACAACACGTGGAGAAGAGAATGTTTATCTTAGTGTCAGGAACATAATAGGGTTTAACATTAATATTATTTTTTATTGATAGTTGCCATTGTTTGAGCTGAGTTTGGGGCTGTTTATTATGGACAGGTTAAAACAAAATCGGAGAGAATGGCAGCAGAAAGATAGGTCAATAAGGAAATTGCAAAAGAGGCAAGGTAAAATGAAAAGGTGGCTCTAGTTTCAAGTTTCAGTAGACCTAAAGCCTTGAGCCAATCTCTTAACATTTTGAATCAAATCCTATTTTTTGTTAACTATAAAATGGAATAGATAATAACAATGTGGGCGATTTGTGGAGACTATTAGCTGTGAGTAGTAGCTGCTTAATAAATTGTAAATTAAAAAAATTCCTGTTATAAATACTAGAATATGAGGAAGGGATAGCAATAGTTTGATCCTGAAAGTGGAGAAGAAATGGATAAGTTTATGGAAGAAAAACTTGTAAATAATTTGTGGCATCTAGACTAGGATGTGATGAATCCATGAAATGATGATTCCTGACTATCCTTTTTATTTTTTGGATTATTTATTTATTAATTTATTTATTTGAGAGAGAGGGCATGCACAGATGAGTGGGGGGAGGGGCAGAGGGAGACAGGGAAGGAGAGAAGCAGACTCCCCACTGAGCATAAGCCCAACCTGCGGGGCTGGATCCCAGGACTTGAGATCAGGAACTGAACCAAAGTCAAGAGTCAGATGTTCAACTGACTGAGCTGCCCAGGCACCTCAGGGTCTTGACTATTCTTAATAACAGACAGACGATGATAATTTTGTTATTTCTGGCATTGTCTTATGCACATGGTGGCCATTTTGTCTGTGCCCTTTGTTTACCTTCAAGGGAAATCTGATAAGTTTTGGGGGCTTCTTGGTAGACACTTAAATTCACATTAAGAATCCTCTGTAAAGCCAAATTTACTTCTTGCCCCATCTACAAACAAGTTCATCTATCTCAATGAAGACTTGTTGAATGATTGTCATGCTCATATTGATCTCTCCCACATCTTATCAGTATCACTTGTATTTTATTATATGTTGTTCTTTGTTATTTGTTTTGTCTTGCTTTATCCTCATTGATACTATAGTGGGCAGGGGATAATTCTGATATTTCCTTTGTTCTCCCATCATGCCCATAACAGCCAATTAACCTGGCAAACTTAATTACATGGCTTGGCATCCTTACCTACCAGAGTACACCCAGACATAGGATAATGATTTTTTTTTTTTTGAGAGAGAGAGAGGCAGAGGGGGAGAGGGAGAATGAGACTCTTAAGCGGGCTTCATGCCCAGTGCAGAGCCCAACACGGTGCTCCATCTCACAACCCTGAGATCGAGACCTGAGCTGAAATCAAGAGTTAGAGGCTTAAATGACTAAACCACCCTGGCGCCCTGGGATAATGACTTTCAATTCAGTAGATCTATGTAGACGAGCGTGAGGCAGCATAGTTGGTTCTCAGATGCTGTCCCTTCATTGATAAAGCTCAACTCCTCTGTTGTTGGAGGCTAGAAGGGCCTGATTATCTCTTGCTGATGGAGCTTCATGACATCACTTCGGTTTAGTTTGGTTCCTACTATTGCTGGTAATCTTGGCTTATATGATGGCCTACACTTAGATAGTATATGTGATTTTCTTGGTGTTTATAGAATTTCCTTTCCATCTTGGCCCCTTCTATTCTTCAGAGAGGGACAGTCATGCCACCATTTAACCTCACCTTTATTGAACCCATTCTTTTAGTTGTGTATAATTTTGCTTTGACCTGGCAACCTTCTGGGCAACCCTACAACTTTTGTCCATTTCTCTAACTTTTCCTGAAGTTTTGTGTGTTCCTTCCTCATTTTATTCCTAGCATGGTATCTAATAATCCTTTCCTTCCCCGCTCTCAAAAAATACTCCAGTAGGCATGCAGTTTGCAGGAAACCAACAAAAATAGGTCTAGTCTCTATATTCAGATTTGGTCCAAAGACAGGGGACATATGTCAAGCATAAAAATTGGCTCATTATGCTCTGCTCTTATATATCAACGAGATGTGAAAATCCAGTCACACTGGCATTTGATCTGGGATCAGAACGATAATTTTACTCTTACTATATTTCTGCTCCCATTCTCTACAAACCTTTCAGAGTACTTGTCCACACCTTGTCTTCCAAAAGATAGGGGAGCCCCTGCCTGTTTTTCACTGGCAGCTAAAAGAAAAGCTTTTCATAAAGAACACTGTTCTCCTCCAAAGGTCAAGGACTCTTTTTTTTTTAAGATTATTTATTTATTTATGTGAGAGAGAGCGAGAGAGAACACAGAGGGAGAGAGCCAAACAGACTCCCCGCTGAGCAGAGAGCTCAATGTGGGGCTTGATCCCAGGACCCCGAGATCATGACCTGAGCCGAAGTCAGACGCTTACCTGACTGAGCCACTCAGGTGCACCCAGGACTCCTAGTTTTAAACCGCTATCCCTGACCAGGGGCCGCCATCTCCACTCCTCTTACGGGGCTACAGCTGGTCCTACTGTCTCTTTATCAGACCCGTGGAAGTGTCAGACCCAAACTGTTAGTGGCCCTTTTTCAAATGTTTGATGCCCAATATTTCTTTTACTTCATTTCTGAACTAAAGATGTATACTATTCTGGGACAACAGGATGTATCTCACCTAACATTGTCTCATACAGCTGAATAATAACATTGACAACAACATATAGCTGAATAATAACAACAAGAAAAAAAGTAATAACAGTGACAATAATAATAATAATTAGCCACGATTAGCCCAGAAAACCAGGAATAACTAGAATAAATGAATTCACTTCAATTCAGTAATTAAGGAATTTCTGCTGCTTTTAAAGATACTAAAGAAGATAAACATTATTCAGTTTTAGAGCAAAAATTTCTTAAGTAGCCTGACCCTCAGGTTAAATGGAATGATTATCATACTGAAATTATGGAAGATAAATAGGTCCATTAATTCCAGACGAGGACAGTGTGATGTTATTCATTTAGGCTTCTAGGAAAGTTAGCAGGACTCATTTTTAGATAAGCCCATCTAAAATCTGTAGACTTCACTATAAGATAATCTAAAGTTATCTTTTCCCTTACATAAGCAAAAGTAAAAAACAACTTCAGGGAACACTTTCCATTTCTTACTTAAGAGAAAAATACTCCTATTTTTCTTGTTTTGACTATAATTTCTGGCCCACTACTTTTCATCTTAATTATAAGAATTACTGATCCAAAGAACTTTCACTTGTACAAAACAATATCAGAGACGGTCCATTCTGTAGAGATGGAACCAGGAAAATCAGAATATATAGAGAGTGTGTTTACACAAAATATTCCTATCAGGACAACACATGAAAGTACGTGGAAGGGACAACATTCAGTCTATATTCTCATGTGGGTTGAAAATTTTGGAAGTATAATAAACTAACTCTGAAATTGTTTTAGCTGAAATCTAGCCAATGGTTTCTTTTTATATTACTGGATTCGTTGGGAGAATTATAAGCAATTTTCTGTGATGATAAGGAAATATAGCCTCTGAATTCACTTTATTTCACCCATACCATTAAAAACTAAGCCTTGGTGAAAATTCTCTACTTTACATTTCAAGTCTTTCTCCATTTAGCAGCTTCCTTACAACCACAAAAACACAAGGGGAAAGAGTGAGGGAAAAAACAATTCAAAAAAGATAGCTAGCTTATGGTCAAAACATCTGGGACAAAGTTGTCCAAAATATTGTCACAGCTCCTTTGCTGACAATTCATTCCAATCTAGAGCCTTGTCAGACCTCCCAGGTTCATTGACAGACTCTTATAATCAGAATGGCTTTGAAAACTTACAGCACTTAGAAATGCTCTTGAGACATCTAAAAATGTCTTTATTTAGGAAGGAACATATAACACCTGCCAAATTTGTAAGTTTGAAACCACTTCCAATAAGAATTAAAAGGCCCTCTTCCTCACTGAAATGGGACTATCAATATATGACTTGTCTGCTCATGAGAAATAGTGGGTTCTTTTCTCTGATGTCGCAGTTTAGTTTAAAATCACTTTCATGATGACAGGGTGCATGAGGTTGATAAAACTATAAAGATGACAGTCTAATCTTCAAGGATCACTGATCATTGATAGAAGATTAAATAATGTAAACATCTGAAATGCCAGATTATCAGCTGCTTGGCAAACTCTCAGTATTGAAGTATGCTCAGACATTACTGATAAGTGAGAACTGCTTTTCCTATACGTTATGCAGAAATATCTCCTCCTCCTCCAGGAGGGGCAGATGAATTGTAATACCTCTGAATTTAAGATGTGTATATATATATATATATATATATATATATATATATATGTTTTTCTCAATCGTGATGAATATGTATAAAATGTTTTAAATGACATACTGTAATGTGCTCAGAATTATTGTTTTCCCTCAGAGTAATGCCCAATTGCTGTGAATTTTAATCATCACTTTTTGGAATTCCAACCAATGTTAAATATACGTACAAGAATGATTAGACATGCTGGTCCTATAAAACTCCAAATAAAGTTGTTTTCTGTGCTAAGCCAACATCTGAAAAGTAAATAATAAATCTATAAATATGTTTGTATGTACTTCACAAAGCAGCATTTTCAATGATACATGGAGCATATTCAGAATTGCATTTCAAATACTTATGAGATCATCTTAACTTACACTTTGGTGGTGCCATAATATCTATATCCCAATGATGCTGAAAATCCAACTACCACAGCCGGGCTGAGATAGCCAAAGATATAAAAATTCTTGTGCAGAAAGCCCTTGTTGTAGATGACGCCCACAACAATGAGATAGAGGTGGATGCCTTCAATGCACATCCATGCAAAGGCAGCTAAAAAGAAATAATGCAGCAGCCCGGCAATGATTGAACAGAAGAGCTAGAAATCAAGGAAAGAAAGAAACCATAAGCATTGTTTGCTTTCACATTAGCATAACACAAAATCCTGACTTTCTCCTCAAATTATGCCACTTGATATAATGCTTGATCACGTTAAAATATCCTCTCATCAAGTGCCAGTTTTTTAAGATGTCCCACTTCCAGCTGAGCTTCATCAGTGTGAAGCCTCAATTGTGAAGAAATCGCGTGATAGAACTAAGTTACTGTTCTTGTCCAGAGAGTTATGCTTTTATACATTTATATCATGTGAGAAGTTGTGGATTTGTTACATGTAAACCATGATATCTTAGTGAATGTGTTATAATTTAAGTTAATTTCTGTTTTGGAGATGCCTTTCCTCTCCTTAATTTTATTCATGCTCAAAGAATGAAAATTATTGCTAATACTATGGTAAATGAAATATAATAAGTGTCTTGATTATTGTGGCAAACATTAAGTTTATAAAACAAATGATGATATATTTTGCAAAAATATCCATTATGGAGTCACTTTAAGTTATAAGATTATCAGGTAAATTTGAGATGGATTTCAGTTAGATATTATTTATTAGTACTCACTTCACACAAAGAATTGGAGTTAGGCTTATAAGAAATAACAGAAGAAGAAGTACAGTTAACACACTTTTGTACTAATAGAACTAACAATATCTATTGCTGGAAAGAGAACATAATATACACTTACATGCCTATTGCACTTAATAAAAAAGAGTACAATCCAAGCATAATGAGATTATATACTAAAATATATTGGGAGTACTATATAAGGTTGGGAACAGAGAGGTCACTGGTGATCAAAATTTGGGAACTACTTTAGTGAGGAAGTAAGACTGACATATGGCTTGAAAATGGGAAGAACTTGAGAGGTGAAACAGAATTGAAAATAAACACTCTAAGGAATATTTTGGGGTAAGGGTAACGGGGAGATGAAACTGAAGGAGGAAATAGGCATTGGAGGATAGTGGGTGGTACAAAATTGGCAGGTGTCAGGACTACCCCTGAAAAATAAAAAAAAAAAATATATGAAGTTTATAGTTTAGGGTATACTATTTAAAATAGACGTTTGGTGGCATCTACTTCAGAAGAAGAACTTGATAACTAGGCATTAGTGTCAGTATTTGAAAGATTTCTAACAGGGATGGAAATATGGAGGCAACTTAATGTCTTGTGGCCCTGAAGATACACTTCTCCAGTCTCTACCTGCACGGAGGGCAGCTGACCTAGAGCTCTAGCTGCTGTGTTCTTTCCCACAGGCTGCTACACAGAGGCTTCCCCTGCCACGTGACTCTGGCTCAAGGTCTTCTCAAAGGACTCCCTGCAACCATGCTGAGCTTTCCTGAGAACGGCACTGCTGTGTAAAATGCTTCCACCTACTACTTGTCCTTTCTTCCTTCTCTTCTTTACTCGGGATCAGACCTGCATCTCGGTCGGATGGCTCTCCAAGTCTCTCTCTTCCCATTATCTCTTAGCCATTTTGCCTAATTAACTTATTGCCCATTGAATTCCATTTTAATGTCTGCTTCTAGGAGGACCCAGACTAACACAATATAGAAATTGTTCTGTAAGGCCCTCCATCAGTAACGGGGGGAGATAGGTAGTTAGGAAAGTGCAGTGACTTGGTGGAGCCAATTTGTCATATTTCAACCTGTGAACCCACTGCTTTTCTATTCAGTCCCTGTGTTAAGATAAAATTTTTATTTCTAATTCTCTCTTTGTCCCTTCTGCCTTTGTTTAATGCCCACGTAAAAAACAAAGCAAAAAATAAAAAAGGCTATTTCTTCAGTATGTTGCTAAGTTTTCATTTGTCCCAATGATTCGTCATAACAAGGGACATTGTGCTTACTGAAATTGACAGGCAGGTTTTAGATATGTTAGCATTAGCAAACTTAGAAAAGACTTAGGAATAAAGTATATGGTATGTTTGCGCATTAAGCTCTTAATTATAATTCGTGATTCTATGGCATATATATTTAGGAAAGTACAAATTTAGAAAACAAAATAGAGAGTAAGAGAGAGCTACATACCTTATTAGTATTTGTATTGATCCCAACAAGAAAAACTAGTTCAGCAAGGAATAGGTTACAGCAGAGATTTTTGTGAATTGTTGTTCTGGTGCTTTGAATTTCACTGAAGAACCAGAAGGTAAAAATGCATATGGAAAGGCAAATCAGTGAAATAATTATTCCTAGTTGAGTGATCCTTGTAAGAATATTATAATCTTTAATACCCTAAGGGAAAATAATAATAAAGCTGTTAAGAGAATAACTCAGTAACTTGTCAAAGGAACTACAACATATAATGAACTTCCTTTTTTGGTGAAACATTAATCAAAATGTTCATAAAATGTAAAAATACAAATGTGCATTTAGATGAGAAAAATTTTGTACCTTTGAAAATGCTCAATATTCAGGGAAATCTGATATAAATCATGTAGCACTTTAAAAGTTCTGTAATTAGTGCTTTTTTTTCCTGGGCATAGTATATATTAGTGTATGCTTTAACAATGTTATCGTCATCAGTTTCATGATATTAGAAAGGCAATTCACTATTGTAATGTGAAAATGGTTAATTAAAACAGATTTATCAGTGGTAATAACAAGTCTTATTTCTATGCAGCAATTCATCTAAAACACATTAAACAACGGTATCAGAAATGCTGAATATATAGAATATCAAAACAGTAAAGTTGTGAGACTTTGAAATGGGAAAAGTTGGTTTTATTCTAACCAGATGAATATTTATATCTTATACAGAGAGTAGAGGCTTCTTTGCTTACTTAACATTCAGGAAAAAAATCTTTGTGACTGACATTACGGTTAGGCAGATTTATTTGGCCACTTTATATATTTGATGGATTCTCAGTAGACATGGAAATGAACCTGTAATTTAATGAAGATTATGATACAGTGATATAAAATAAGAAACTGTATAGTGTAAAAGAAAGATATTATGGATGCGAAAAACCTAGCATACACCTACTCGCTGTAGAGAGATCTTTCGTGTTTAAAAATCTTGTACAGTTCTACATTATTAAAACATTGTAATAGTTATAAATGCACTAGTACTTATTGACCTGGTTTCAAATATTTTTAGCTAATTTGTAACTGGTAAAAATAAACTTTCAATACAAAGGCAAAGGCCCTTAAAGACCATGATACATTAAAATGTAAGTGGTTTTTAAAAGCAAATTAAGAGTCAATGGATAGGTATTTAATGCACAACCTACTAGCTATCATAGACTAGGTAGGTCCTAGACAAAAAAAATAACCTAAAATCCAGTCTAAATATGTCATACAAGGCAGGTAAGAAAACAAAGACTAAAAAAGATAGTTTTGGGGTTTTATCCGTTAACTAAATATATTTGCACCCAAAGAAACATAAAAAATTAATTCTCTTGCCTGATGTATGTAAACACGAAAAAAAAAAAAGAAAATAGGCAGGTTTATAAATACGAAATGATGGAAAATTGTCTTACAATGGAAGAACCAGAAGACATCAGAATTGCAAAATGTGTCAGGTGGTTACAGCGGCATGAGGTGTGGGTCTCATTTGAGGACAGCAGCTTGCAGCCCTCCAAAGACCAGCTGCCATTCATCGTGTCAGACGAGTAGCTCCAAAATGCACATTGACTCCTATACTTATCTGTGGTCTGAAAAAGAGACATTTTACTGATGGAAAAAAGAGAAAGAATTATACATATAGCACCACACTTCTCATATTTAAAATACCATTTCATGTATCAATATAATTACAACCATGCCTAAAAAGTAAAGCACAAAATCAATGCTAATAAATGAGCGCTGGCGTTCTGTGGAAGAACTGAAGTTACTGCAACAATGCTATATTTTATCAATTCCTGTGTCACAAAAGTTGTGAGAATTATGTATTATCAAATGAGATCATTTAGAATAGTACACGACACATAATTATCATATGATCTTTATTTGATAAATGTTTACAGAGAATATACTGGGTATTAGTCATTGACCCAAGTACTAAAAATACAATACTGAACAAAACAGAAAAAGTATTTGCACCGCTGATTTTAGATTCTCATGAGATGAGAAATTATTAAACAAGAAAAATAAACCAGGGGAAGGAGAGAGAAAGTAGTTGAGATTGGTCGGAGGAGGTCTTTCTTAGGAGATGATATTAAAGCAAATACCTCAGTGAAGTTAGACAGAGAGAGTAAACCCTAAGACTTGGGAACAGAAGGTTCCAGATGGAGTGGAAAATGGAAAAGTTCTGAGTTGAGACTGGATAGGAATCTTCCAGAAGCACTGAAAGCCAGTATAGTTCGGGTACAGTGAATGAGATAAAGAGCAGTTGAAGACAAGATCAGAGATAAGGTCTGATTGCATAGACTACAGGATGATTGTTTAATAAATAGAGTTCTCTTTATCACATATTTATATTAAGTGATCATAACATAATATTATGACAACTACCTCCTTTGAGGTAATGGAGAAGTATATACTAATTGGTGAAATTGCAAATAAATTATCAGGTAATCAGGAAACTGAGGGTGGTTATATATGAGATAGCTTCTATTTTTTTAGGAAAACAATGGGATCCAAATTTTGTTCTCAGAAAGAGGGAAACCATGAATTATGTAGGTCTGTCATCAAAAGAAAATGATAAAAATTCATAGGGGTCATTAATTTGAATGGGAACAAGATTTGAACAGAGAGGAAGATTAAGGATAACCAAGTTTTCCCATGAATTTTGGTGAAGAATTTTTATTTAAGTGTGTGTTGTGTTTTGTTTTGTGATTGTGTCAGAGATTGGTGAAGTGGGTTGTCCTTGGCATCTCTTTAGCTGCCAAAACATTCCACTAGTAAAAACTGCAGAAAAACCCATCAGAGCATGTGAAAGAACAATGTTTTGAGTCTAGTGTCAAAAGGTCAGTTAGCATCTAAAAATATCTAAGTTTCGTTTCCGTTCTTAAAACATTTCACACCCTCTTCTGAACATAATGCCTACCAATGTTTAGGTTCGAGCTACTATTTTCTTTATCTTCTATACATTTAGTTTCTCTCTACATTAGATGTCTTTATTTACAGTGACACATTTGTATTGTGTGTAAGCATATATGTTCTTTTAGTCCCCTCCCTCCCCCATAAATATGCAAATACAATTGTCCAGCTTCAGGGGTCTCCAAATGGAGCATCAGGGGTACCTTAATCACATACTAGGACTGAAATTCTATCGAAAGTCCAAGAAACCATCAACTGTAAAAAAGCAGCAAATAATCTATGATCTTTAGTTTCCTCATTCATTTTTAGGTATATAAAAAACCCAAATACTTAGTTTTTTCTAGTGTTTATTATGATAAGGTTTTAATTACATATGAGCTTGAAAAAGATCTGAAATAACAATAAAGGAATAAAATGGTCTCAGCTAATTTCTTTATGAAATATTGTAAACTTCTCTGCGATTTTATTTTAATCAAAATTTAAATCCCTGCAAATATTATTTTAAATGGCAATTAGTAATCAAACAACTCTGTCATTACACAAATGACATTTATCTCTTTGGCTCTGATACATTTTTATAACTCATTCTTAAAAGGTATGGAGACTTCCAAAATGAACAATGTAATTAAAAATAAACTTAAAATATAACTTAATTTCAGAGAATCAAATGTGTAAAATTCCTTGATATTTATTAGAAAGATTACAGAGCACTGAAAGTACAAAAATGTTTTATAGAAAAATTAGTTGAAACTACTCTTTTAATTTTTAAACTCAAGAATTCACATACAAATAAAGTGACAATAAAAAAATGTTCTCTTCTCTAAATGTTTCACACTCAAAACCAATAGTCACCAGAAAAACAGCTTACCTTCATATGACTTAATGTAAATGTTATTTTTTCAAGTTCATACAACGTGGGTGGGTTTGAGCTAATTGAGACAGAAATCACTGAAGAAATGACTCTTTCTTCCTCTTCAGAATTATCAGAACTTTGAGGTTCCAGTAAGTTGTCAGATGATGAAAACAAGGGACCGATACTCTTATAATATAAAAATGCAACTGCAACTTTGCCTATCAATCAAAAAAGTATATTTAGTGAAATTCTTATAAAACAAAAATATATTTAGACTCTCAAAATAAACATAAAAATTTAACAAAGTTTTTTACTCTAAGGCCAGTCATGAGAATACCTAGACACTAAAATGTGGATCATAATAAGTGCATGTCTATATAATCAAATCATATTAAGACGTATTCCCTGACCTCCATGACTGTGAAACTGATCACGGACGGTACCATTCCCTTTGCACAGGCTATATTTAGGAGAAAAATAGTCCTGGATAAATGTATATCCAACTCCTGACTAAGAACCAAGGTGTGAAATGTATTCACTTAAAAGATTAAAATTTGGAGTTACTACTTTGCTATGCAAAGATAGGAATTAGAAAGATGTTGGAAGAAAATTATCACTAACTTGGAGTATTAAGGAAGTTGAGAATTAAACAAGTTGTCAGACACCACTGAGTTCCACCTCATGCCCACTGAAATGTTTCCTATTTAATATTGATGACATACTGGTATGCAGTCTCCAGGTAAGAAATTTACTGCCTTGCCAGACAGCTATTTATCTCTGCCCCTTGACACTCCCCAAATGCAGTAAATCAGCATATAACCCAGTACTAGAAATGCAACCTGATCAGTACAGATTATCATGTGACTATTTTTCCCTTAGCCTAGACATTACACCTATATTAGTGGATCTCAAATCGTCTTGGTTTTTGAAGCAGCTCATTATTACTGATATTAAGTATGTGAACAACTCAAATCTAGATCTATTGTCTTTTTAAAATTGCTGTTGCCACTTAGGTCACACACTTTCTCTATCTGTTGTACAGAATTATGGACATAAAATTTAAACGACTTTGCATTCAGAATTTATTCTTGGAATCAAAAGTTCTGTTTTCAGTCATCGTTCCTAGTTGTGTGGCCATGGATAAACTGCTTTGAACTTCAGCTTCTTCATTTATAAAATGATAATAGTAATACTTTAGCTACCTACTAGGCTAAGGTGGAGACTAAATTAAATAATACACGTGTTTTCTGTAAAACTTAAGGTTCTATATTAATATGATTATTGTTACATTTTTAAACTAGAAACATTATATATTTGCTTTATTTGCTGGGACAATTTACAAAGAACTCTTTTATATTTGCTTCCTCAAATTTGTGACACCAGAATAATGTGAAAGGCATAAAGTCATCAAAACCATAAATACAAATGTTGATTGTATCATAAAATACGAAGAACTGTGCCCTCTAGCTGCCATGTTGCGTCACTGCGAGTGTGCACCTAATCTCAGCAGGTCTGCGCAGAACCCCTGAGCGCCAATCCTAGTCCCCAGTGCGGTCTCATTTCCGCTCCAACAAGGTGAAAGAAACTACCATGAACCAGGAGAAACTCGTCAAACTGCTCAAGTGCGCATTGGTGGGAGAGAAACTGCTCGCCAAAAGAAGAGGGTGGTCCAGAGAATGGCGCCGAGAGATGATAAAAAACTTCAGTTCTCCTTAAAGAAGTTAGGGGTAAGCAGTATCTGTGGTATTGAAGACGTATGTATGTTCACACACTAAGGAACAGTGATCCACTTTAACAAGCCTCAAGTGCAGGCATCCCTGGGGGCGAACACTTTCACCATCACAGGCCAGGCTGAGACAAAGCTGCTGACAGAAATGCTACCCGGTATGTTAAACGAACTTGCAGAGTCTGACCAGTTTAAAGACCCGTTAAAGCTCTGCCCACATGATCTGTGGATGGAGAAGCACCACTTGCTACTGGAGAGGAGGATGATGATGAAGTTCCAGATCTTGTGGAGAATTTTGATGAAGCTTCCAAGAATGAAGCAAACTGAATTGAGTCAACTTCTGAAGAAGATAAAACTTGAAGAAGTTACCGGGAGCTGCTACTGTATATTAGGACAGCTTTTTAAAAAATTCTGTTTATGTCTCTGATAAAATCTAGATCTCTAATATTTTTAAGCCCAAGCCCCTTGAACACTGCAACTCTTTTCAGTGTTTGCTTAGACACAATTTGTTCTTTGCAGCTAATTAAGCTGAAGAAGCCTGGGAATAAAGTTTGAAACAAGGTTAATGAAAAAGAAAAAAAAAATCTAAAACAAAGAACTGTGATACAAATCTGAGTCCTTCCACATGACACACAATGTCACAGTAATAAATAATATTTTTGGATATTGCTATGGTTATGTGAACTAGAAATTGCCAAAATCTATCATGATTCATGTTATCTTATCTAAAAAGGTATCACAAGAAACCGCTAAGAGATTGCTGAAATCTACGTATATTAGATAAAAGTATTTTCCGTTAACTGCCAGCTTAAGAAAACTTGTATCGAAGAAAGAAATGAAGTTAGTCTAACATGGCTGGGCTAGTGACATTATGAAGAGTCCACGGGATGACAACTAGCCCAGCCTTTGCTGTGGACAGACCAGGGCCTGAAGCAGGATCTGAAAACCTTTTAGGTCAACTTGAGTCAGTCCAATGGATGAACCAGTTCATATCACAGTGACTTCTCAGAAGTTGCAGTAGGAGCTGGTCCAAAATCAAAGGAAGCCCCGAAAAGATAAGATGGATCTTTTAAATCTATTAATCACTCCTATCTTTTCTCAAGGAAAATATTTAACATCAAATTTTTGACTTTGGGGTAAAATGTGATTCTTGCTGCATAGAATGCTCCAAAATCCCTTCTTAGCTCCATTCTGAGTATTGTTTCAGTATTTGTCCATTCTCATCATTTGAACCTCTTCTAATTGCCATGATTTCTCATTAATTCTTGGCTTGATTTAGCTTTTTTTTTAAGATTTTATTTATTTATTTGAGAGAGAGAATGAGAGAGAGAGAGAGCACATGAGAGGGGGGAGAGTCAGAGGGAGAAGCAGGCTCCCTGCTGAGCGGGGAGCCTGAGGCGGGACTCGATCCCAGGACTCCAGGATCATGACCTGAGCCGAAGGCAGTCACTTAACCAACTGAGCCACCCAGGCGCCCCTCGGCTTGATTTAGCTTTCAGCTCTCTTATCAGATATGTACCTTCATTCAGTAAATGAGGGGTTTATTTGCTAATGACAGGAAGTAAAAATTCAGTCTATAAAAAAAAGATTAAAAATCCACCTGTTCTTCCATGAACCTTCCTTATTTTCCTAATAATGACACTATGCAGATTTTAACTTGAAGCCTGTATTTTATTAATGAATATTTATTGGTAAATAATCACATGTAGACATCATAAAGCAGATTTTATCAGTTTGTTAGACTTGCCCTTATTTTTAAGATACAACCTTAAGGAAATCAAATTTTCTCTCTGTGTTTTCTTGAGAACTGACATTATGGTCTCTTTCAAGTGTCAGAGTTTGCATGCGTGATCTTCAAATATAACAAAGCTATCATACATTCAGACAGGATCTCTTTGAGAAATTAATTCCATGACAATTTCATCATCTGTCACTATAATAAGTATTTTCAACGGCTCTATTCTTAGCTTCTAAACACTACTCAAATTGTCTTTGAAATTTCAACAGCGTAACACAGTCTTTGGATTTGCTCCTAAATATTATATGTGTGGTTGGTTAATTAGAATATGATGTAATAGGGTAAAAGCCTTGGATTCAGTGGTAGTATGGCTTAGTTATTTTTTCTTTGTTTTGTGGCCATCTGTTTCTTACCATTGTATAAAAATGACAAGAAAAAATGAAAAGGATAATATCAATGGGTTAGGAAAAAAATCCCACATTAGTGTTGTACAAAATTTTTTAAAAGGATGTTCTTCTGAGAATGAATGTGCAGAATATTAAAAAAAAGACACAATATCCATTTATGAAATGATGTCTATACTAGAGACCATACTGTGTTATTATATATACTTTTCACTTATATTTATGACCACCCACATATTCTTTGAGAATCTATTATAATTCACATTTCACTTAGGTAGTATATTTTGACCTATTTGAGAATGATAACAATTCTTCTGTTGGCAGAGATTTTTTTTTTCTAAGTGCATTGCATTAAGAGAGCAGATACATGGTTAAAATAGCTGCTTCCTTGCCCTTGATTAGGTGACAAGGAAAAGCTGGTCAGGGTTGATTTCTTTGTTAACTTCCTCCCTTCTAGTACTGGTTCTGTATTATTTGTTGATGTGCACGGAGAAAAATCCATTAACTTCATTGTGCCTTAGTTCCATTATCCATAAAGTGAGGAAATTAGGGTAGGTAGTCATCAAATCGCCTGCTAGTACTGGCATTCCATTTCCCAAGAAATCCTGCCTTTAGTTGAGAAGTTTATGGTACAAAGACGAAGAAATGGCAAGTGGAAAAGAAATCCAAACCTAAAACACCAACTTTCTGTCTTTGGGAACATCGTTTGTTTTCCCCACACAATTATAAATTCAGCCTCCAAATAAGGAATATGAAGGATTACTGAAGAAGAAATAGTAAAAGAATCCTATGCAAATTATAGCACCTATAATTGCTGCAAAAGAAGTAATAAAATCACAGCTCCTCTATATATTTCATTAGAATCTCAACAATATCAAACAGCTTCAGCGATTGGGCACAAGACAAGAAGGACATAGATATTGTCAGCTAAAATTCTCACCATGTATTGACATCCGACTGAAAATCTTGAGTACAAAGTCAGAAATTCTGTATATAAACATCAAATATTTTCTATAGGAAACCACACGTTATGTGTACATCTGATACAATCAAAGGCATGATAAGTATTTATTGCAAATTACTGACATATTGAATATAAGACCATCAAAGTCTTACCATATGAATCATATGCAGCTTTTCTCTTTGGAAATATATTTATATAATCTCCATCCACATTCATATAGGGATGAGTATGTTCGATGTGATATGAATCAAAAAAGAAAGTTTTGAGAGCTGAAATAAAACCATGAAAATCATAAATTCTTTGAAGTTAGTTTAATCAATGTATTTGTTTAATGAGGGATAATTTTATCCATCATTATTGTATTTTATCCATCATTATTGTATTTCAACATTTTTTGGCAAGTAGAATGAGCATATTTTGAACATGCTTAGACATTATGATTTATATCTTAAAAATCTGTTTCAAGTTTTAACTTTTCTGATTGCACTATAACACTCATGGTTTAATCTTTGTTGGATTAAGTAAAAGACAAAATACATATGTACACAAGGGAGCCATAAATTATAATTACTAAATCAAAGACAAGCAACCACAATGTCTTAGAGGGTGGTATCTATAATAAAATTTACTATATGGAGAGTGATTGAATTAAATTCTTGAGTGATAATTTCTTTACCTGAGATAGTTCACCTTTTTTATTCAAGAATATCACAGACATGCAGGGATCCTATATATTAGTCATAATGCTTGCTACTTTAATTTGGATAAGTGGTGAATCATGATATGAGATGGTGATTCTTGCATACTTATTGCTGCATAGCAAGATGTCACCCACACAGTATAATATAGATGTATGCAATGATTATCAGAAAAAGTTCTTTGTTTCCTCAGAGCAACTTTATAGGCATCTTTAATTTGATTCAAGATTCTGAATGTTTTAAATAGGAGATTGCATGAAGTAGGAAACATTCTAGTTTGCTAAGTTGATTGCTTCATATCAGAAAATCTGTCTAGAACTATCTTTGGCTAAGGTAGATCCTAACAAGTCATGAGATGACTAACTCAAAATGACAAGGGAGTAATGTACTCTGAGCATTTAATGCTAGACAGCTCAGGAATAGGACAAGGTGAAGATTGTAGGAAGGAGGCAATATTATGTATTCATCCTTTTTACTCATACTTCATTCATATTACTCTTGTAATGTACATTGCCATTCATTTCTACATTGATGAAACAGGTGACAATTTAATTAACAGTATTTTAAATACTTTCTTTCCGTTTTGAGAATGGCCTGTTCGGCAAACACTGTTGTTTTGAAATTGACCTTGGCTCCTTACCTATATCACTCGAATTAGTATCGAACTGAGTGGTCTTTTGGAAGTTCTGAGATATCCTTAAGGTAGCCTGTTCAGCAGCATGCATCAGTTTTGTGAGATGAATTCTTCTACGATTCATAGATAACTTGTCCCAAACTATAAATACGTCCTTTTGAACAAAATTATTCACAGTTTTTACAAATTCCTGTTGAAAAAAAAAGTGTGTCTTTTAAAAATGTTGGAATCCATGAATCACAGATGTAAGGAAAAGTTTAAAGCTCAGTTATATTGAGTTAAAGCTCAACATACTTACAGTAAGAGTTGAATTAGAAAGGGTGTCCTTGGCTGAATTAGTGCTATTCATGTCACCCAGTAATGGGGATGATTTAGCTAATATTTCTATATATGTAATTATATCCATCGGTGAAAGATCTTTCACAGAATCTCTATAGACTTCTTGTAGCAAAGCCACAGGTTCCTTTATGTGTCTAAACTGTACAAAAATGAGTCCAGAAAAAAGAAACCAATTTAGAGTACTACTGGATCTTTTTAAGAATAAAGGCTGTATGTTAAATTTATTCTAAGTTTGGTTTTCTTGTGCTAATTGTTAATAAGTTATCAGACTACATCTAAACCATAACATGCAGCACTGAAACTTGAAATTATTTATAAAAGGTTAGCAAATAAAAAGTATAGAAATTAGAAAAGAAACAGAATGTTTGAATTAATAACTTTTAAAAATTAGCTTTTTAAAAGTTATAATATATGATAATGTATTTTGAATTAGATTTTAATCAACCAGAGAAAATTCTTTACAATGTGATATATTGGAAATTTGCTTTTAGCTCACTGTTTGTCATGTTGAGAGTCACACTTTCAATCACATGACAATTCTGTGAATGTCCTACTTTATTTACTCTTTGAAATATTTCCTTTGAAGTACAAAATTTCCTTGCATTCATTATGTCTTCTTAGAATGTGGGAACGGGCCTGGGGTCAAAGTGTGTTTTTATTATTTTATTCATCAACTTTCTTTATATGTTGAAAACAAAATTTCTGGTATACTAAACAGTGAAAAAGTAATATACATTAAATATCTCAAAGTCTTCCTCAGTACTTTGGGGATTTTCAAATTGATCATTTCTGTGACTCAAACAAACTACTTAAATCTCTATATGTAAATAGTTTCAACTCTACATGAAGATCAACTGGTTGTTATTCTATTTAAAATGTGACACAGGAAGGATTTTAATGGAAACCAAAATGTCAAAATATAATAAATTCTTAATCTAACTAGTTTACTTACTTTTGTTAACATTCTATCAATATTTGCAGCAATACAGGCATTATCTAGATGGCAGTTCGCACTCACATTTTCTGTAGAAAAAGAAAATAGATTCTGTTTTTTTAAAATATTTTTTCCTGGGGTGCCTGAGTGACTTAGCCAGTTAAGCACCTGCCTTTCTGCTCAGGGCATGATCCAGGAGTCCTGGGATCTAGCCCCCGCATCGGGCTCCCTGCTTCTCCTTCTGCCCCTCACCCTGCTCATGCTCATGCTCTCTTGTCTCTCAAATAAATAAATAACATAAATAAATGAAACATTTTTTCCTAAGATGATTATATTGATTCCAATAATTTTACTCCCTTATTTAAATATTAAAAACACATTCTTAACACCTGAGTTTTATTTTTTGTTTTACTCGTTAACATTTGCCTTTTTAATTATTTAAAAAAATTATTCATAATGAAATACACGTTTATTTTCATTTTATTCATTTATTTTTCCTTATTTATTTTTATTTGTTATTTGTTTTTATTCATTAGGATACACAATATTTTATGGAAAATGGAAGACTGTAATTACCCTGCATGTTAACTATGTATGTTAATACATAGATACATATGGTCTACTTCTTCCATTAAGTAGAAACAATACCTTTTCTTATTTCATTATATAGATAATAATGGAATACTGGCACATTTCTGGGTGCCTGGGTGGCTCAGTTGGTTAAGTGCCTGCCTTCGGCTTAGGTCATGATCCCAGGGTGCTGGGATTGAGTCCCACATCGGGCTCCCTGCTCAGCTGGGAGTCTGCTTCTCCCTCTACCCTTCCCCCCTGCTCATGATCTCTCTCTCTCTCAAACAAATAAATAAAATTAAAAAAAATACTGGCACATTTCTTAGAAGATGTAGTTCTTTGTATGCTTTACTACTGTGTAGCATTATATTTTATATAGTTCTTTGATAATACATAAAATATAATCATATGACTTACCTTGGCAGTAAGTGCCATCATTAGGTGTGAACTGTGCTTTTCCAGTGGATGTCTGATAACCTTCCTTGCAGGAGCAATTATACCCACCATCCACATTTTCACACACTGCTTGATCTCCACAGGCGGCTGATTCACTGCACTCATCTATATCTGGAAATATTTGAAAAATCAAATTTTTTATTTAGTACTTATACAATTGGTACCTTGCTGATACAGTTATATATGGTTAATGATTCCATCAAATTTTATAAGAAAGTAAGGAAAATTCCATCATTTGGAAAACAACAGAGCAAACTTAGCTGCATATATTTTTTTTAAACCCTGATTTGGTCAATCCATTTTGAAAGCATATTAAAAAATGTCATTCATGGATCAAACTCTTGAATTATTTTCTGAGTAGAATGATTCATCCACAAAGTCATTAAAATAATTTCCATCATTGACAATTTAACATTTAGTCCTAATTGAATAAAGACCCAATTTTTAAAATACATCTAAAATTCTTTGTTTTCTACTATTAAACTAAATTGATTGTAACAGCTCAGTTTAATCTGGAGGATAAAAAAGAATAGCCCATTTTCTTTCCAAAGCTTCATTTTTGCACGTAAGTTATCCTAAAAATTAGCAAAATGTGTGATTCAACTCCCTTAAAATTTTACCACAACTTACTACTTTTGTGCAGGTTATATTTTACTATGATTCTGAATACACAGTCATCATAGATAAAGTAACAAATTGTACAGAATTAAGTCTTAGATTTTCAGTAGTCATATATCAGAGTCACAGTAAAAATGTTAGGTTTTAAGCTCATATAATTTATATTCTTAATTTAAAATTATACATACTGCAGTGAAATATGTCTTAAAGTTATAAATACAGTATAAATACTCTGCCAGTAGGCAGAGTTCCAATAGGGAATGATTCCAAGGAACGGAAGAGTCCAGATCATTACCTTAAGCTAATGCAAAGATTTTTGTGTTCCCAGCCTGGCTCTGACATCTTAGAGATACTCTATGTTAGATTAATGAATAAACCTGTAATCTTAAATATAAAATTTGATTTTTTAAAAAAACTAATAGAGTGCCACAATACTGTTTGCCATAAAAAAAGGGGAGTAATCAAAGTCCAACTTAAAAGGTCATCTAGCTAGTTATCTTAAAAGTAGTTGATCCTAATTTTTCACTTCAAAAATGCAATGAAGGCACAGAATAACATTAATACTCAAACCACCCAAAACTGAAACTGACAGTAGCCTCTCGGTAGTTCTTGAAGAAATGTCCATTAGCTAGAAAGGCAATGGTACTAGATTTAAGAAGACAATTCATAGGCCCGAGAAAGGGGTAGAAAACTCCTTGTTCTTCTGCCAAGCCTATATACTCATAATCTGCACTCCCCAGAGAGCCAAGTATACTACTTTTCGAGAAACAGGAATACTATCCTAGCACCCTCAACCTCTTCCTCTGATTTCTGTATATGTGTGTTTAGAGACTGCCACTCCACACACACACACACACACACACACACACACACACAGAAAATAAAGTAAGGGATAAGCAATAGCAGGTTGATTCTTAAGATATAGTGAACCGTCAAGGAAAGCATTCCAGGTAAGGGTAAAAAAAAGAAGCTATGTGGAAGTGCAGACTGGGGTTATTATTTTTCATGAAATCCATGAGGTGAGAAAAAATATATAAGAAAACAAAAGACTAATCTTTCTGGAGCAGGGCTGAAGAAGTAGCATGTATTATACCCAAATGGGGATAACACCCCAATGAAGATGTGAACAGACCTATGTGGTATCATAAATAGAACAATTTATTTTATGAATAAGAAACTTATGTTTTCTGAATGCCCACATTTCCTATTTTTAGATGTCTTATATGGCTAACAGGAAATGAGGTGCTGATTTCTCTCAATTTTAAAATTATTTAAAGGTGCAAATTTTCTTGGGAATGTTGTCCCAAACCCATCTCTAAGCAACATACAAATATTTTTTTTAAAGATTTTTATTTTTTTATTTGACAGAGAGAGAGGGAACACAAGCAGGGAGAGTGGAAGAGGGAGAAGCAGACTCTCTGCCTAACAGGGAGCCCAACACAGAGCTCCATCCCAGGACCCTGGGATCATGACCTGAGCCGACGGCAGACGCTTAACAACTGAGCCACCCAGGTGCCCCAGCAACATACAAATCTTGGCAAACTCAACGTCCATCCTCTCTCTTGTATTCTGGACACAGGGGTATATAATCTTGTTGCTCAGAACCAACTGTGTTTTAGTTTTTCTCTGTGCATCCTCCACATCCGTGGTGCTTGTTGGGTTTCTGCTCTAGTTCAAGCCTTCCTACCACCACTCACTTAGCTAGTTATTATCCCAAAATGTCAGCCTTGGACCAAGTAGGGTATTTCAACCTCTGAATTCACCAAGCAACAAAATGGTAATCTGTAAAAAAAATAAATAAATAAGGAGGTAGTCTCCTGGGAGACCAGCATTCAAAATTAGGATTATGCAAAATTTAATATTCTGACTCCAAATGTTATACAAGAATATTAATTAACCTACCAAAGTAATGCTTTTCAAATCTTAATCATCCCATCAAAGTCATGTTTTCCAAATTGTTTGGACTTTTCTTGCTTATACTTTTTGATTTTATAACTTTTTACTCAAATGTGGAAGTGAGGTTTGCTGAATTTGATGCCCCTCTCACTCTGTTTATTGAATCTAACCTAGTGACTGGCTATACCTCTACTTGTTAGCATATCACTCTATGCCCCTTGCTACCTAGTAATATAGAGAGAATCATAAAATATTGAAAGAGTATACCATGCCAAAATGAACATGACTGCTATTTTGCAGCAAGATCTACACCCACTTCTCTGGCAATCTCTTGCAGGGCCTCATTAGCTGGAATCGAATAAAAACACTATGTATCCTTCTTCCTACAGGTAAAGGCCCTGTAGAAGATTTTAATTCAAATCCTAGTTATAATACTTATTAGCCTTGTGACTTTAGGTGATACTATTAAAAATACCCTTTACCTTAAAAGAATTCTTTTTTAGAACAAATGAGGAAATATATGTAAAGGTGTTTTGAAGTTGTGCCCAAGATATAATAGGTCCAGTGATTCTATTCATATTGTGTGTTTTCTTATAGCAGGAGCCCTGTGAATATGTAGGTTTGGAGAAAACAGATCGATAATGAGTGTCTCATTAGATTGCCATGTCTTAGTATTCCCCAGATATGTAAAAGAGGAAAAGAACCCCCACCTCATCTTAATAAAAGTTAAATTGCTATTACATAATTATTTCAGTCAGGCTAGAATTGACATACCATATTTAATAACTGATCCGCTTTTTCTACCACCAACCTAACACTCAGCTTAATACTAATAACTTGATTTTGCCAAATGTAAGCACATCATAACCATCATTTGCTTGTTTTGCACATCAAAAAATTCACTTGCTCCTTTTTCATTAGTAAGGTTATGCTTGTTTCTCATGTTTACAATGAGCCAACCCAGCAGCAGTTTATCGTAATCTTCTTTCAAAACATGATCCTATGATTGTTTTGATTCTTATCATTTTCATCAATAACTGAATTGTCTAATGTTTAACTCACAGACTATGAAAAAAAGATAACACATTCAATTACTGAAAGTAATTTGCAAAGACAAAACTGAATGTTGATATTACTCAAAGCCAGAAAAAAAATCTGAAATTATCAGCGTACCCAAGGCAATAGGACATACAAAATTATAAGCAGTAAACCCTGCTCTTCAGCACATGGTAAATGTGAAGGAGTTCTTGGGTTATACTCATTTGGCCTTGGGAGAATTCACTGTCTTATTGGATGCCTCGGTTTTCCCATTTGTGAAATATGAGTCTGGAACCAGGTCCCTCGGGAGCTAGGGATCTGAAATTCTGTTTTACTGTAATTCCAAGGGAAAGCCAATGTTCAGGATGCTAAATTTCCCTCAAAGCCTCCTGCAACAAAATTACCTTCTCTGTGGACAACAGTATTTGAATACAGACTAAAGGTAGAGAATTTTGCTTGGGTCATTTCTTGCCCTGAATTGGGATTTTTCATGATCTATTTATAGAGGTTCTTAATGAGTATAATTACCAGACATGTTAAATTTAAGGATAAGCTAAACTTTCAAATCAGATGCGATACAGTACAAAGTGATATCCTAACATAAAAGGAAACAGAATTATAGTTCTCTGTTCAAATTCCCTGAAGATTATCATAGCGCATAATGAAAATTACTATAGGACTAGAGAGGGGGAAAAAAAGATATAGTTGTTCTGGTGCTCAAAAAAGCTTAATCCTTAAGGACAACAAAATTGGTGAGAAATAACCATTTTCCAGAGAATGAATTTTTCAGTGAATAATCCATCAAACAAAACAGGTAGAAGCTGAAGGACTCAATATTGGGTACTGGATTTTAAAATAAGTCTTGTGTTTACTGATTACTTAAAATAGCTAAAAAGGGAATTAGCCAAAACTTATGCCCATTCCACAGTATCTCAATAATAAATGAGTATTGGGAGAAAGAGTCTGAAATTACAAATATGTTATACTTCCATAAAACGTTGGCATTCAATCATCTCTTTGTGTGTGAGTTCCCTCTGTGTCTGTGATTCTGTTTTTTTTCTAATGCAGGAATTCTCTACTTGTAGGGAACACAGACAGAGAAATAGAGCCTTTTGTCAGTTGAGGCATATTAAAAGTAAACACACTCAGATGAAAAGACAGATGTCTTCAAGAGACAAGAGGGAATGGAGAGCATAGTTAAAATTGTATTAAATTCCAGTGATTAAGATGTTGTAAGTTCTATTTCTTCACTAACTGGAACAATTCTAGTAAAGCTTACAGAGCTCTATAATTAGAACTTAACAACTAAAGGTAAAATGCATATTATACACACATAACATTCTAAGAAGACTAACAACTAAAGTAGGGGCTTGAGAAGAACAAATAGTGAGATATTACAAGTTTTCTGGACAGAGCTTCAGAGATTACTTCCTGAATATACTGTAAAGTTATATACTATAAAACTTTTTGCTGAAAACACTAAAGACAAAATTTATCCTTCAACACAAGGTGTCTGGGTGGCTCAGTCAGTTAAGGGTCTGCCTTTGGCTCAGGTCATGATCTCAGGGTCCTGGAATCCTGCCCCACATCGGGCTCCCTACTCAGCAGGGAGTCTGCTTCTCCCTCTCCCCCTGCCCCTCCCCCCAGCTCATGCTCTCCCTCTCTCAAATAAATAAATAAAATACTAAAAAAAATATCGTTCAACAAAAATTGTCCTCTTTTCTCATATTTTAAATCCTTTATGCCCTTGCAAAAACATGATCCACTGCATTTGCATGATTCAGATCAATGCATAAGATTTAGATGGCCACCCATTTTTGCCTCCAGTGTCTTTCCAGATACAAGACTGATTCTAATCCTCCCTTTATCCTAAACATGTGAATCTGTAGTAGCCTCCACATCCCTTGGCTATCAAATGAGAATACATTGTTTTCTGTTTATTTAGCAGAGTAAATGTTGTGAAACCATAGGTACATGAGACAAGATAATTTCTTTGATACAGACATTTCACTGATAAAGTTTCTTTGAACATCGTCTCCTAACTTATCATGTGTTAATAATAACATTGTTAGATTTCTCCTTAGCTTACTGACAAGAATCTCAGTAGGGACCTAATCAAAGCCTTCAATGTGATCTAGATTAACTTTGATATCTCTCTTTTATCTAACTATGTAAAATAGAAGCAGCACATTACCCTTGTCCACGTTGCATGTAGTCTTGGTTTCTAGTCTAATTTCTTCTCCTGGCCAATGACTTCACTCTCAGGGCCTCAGTTCATGTATTAATTTTGCAGATTACTATCGGCCATAATAAATTAAGCTAGTTGTTGGTAAATTGGACAGTTTTGTATAAACCATGACGAAGATGATTTATAACTTGCTTTCAAAGTTTTAAGTCTTTGGCTCCAGAGAATTTGCCTCTGAAAATTGTTCATCTTTTTGAATTTACTAAACAATCTTTTTTTCTCAGACTGTAATCCAAATATTGTAGGATCTGGTATATCAAATGCATGACCAAATTATAATAGAAGGACATTTAAAAACTTCTAGATACTCTCTTCAGACTTAGAATAATTTCACATAGGGATTTAGTTGAAATTATTATCATTCCAGAGGACATTTTAGTAAGCCTGAAATGATTTTCTAAATAGGACTCTATTTAGAAACTAAAAACATTAGTTTTTCTGAACATTAATAGTTACACTTCATGCAGGTCTTAAGTGTAACTACCTTTCAGCAGACAATACTAAAAGCACTAGAACAATTCTTTTATAACTAATGCCTTTCTGAATATTTTCTGAGAAAAGGTGGAGCCCATCTCAGAGTGCATATTTATAAAAGCATCAATATCTTGGCATGCAAATGATAATTTTCTTGAGTCAACATATTAAAGTGTAAATATTTATTGTTGTTTGTCACCATGCTAGATCTCATACTTTCATGATTTTTTTCTCGTAAACTGCTCGATTTTCTCCCCCAAAACATTTTCCTTACATCCTTAGATAAATATGCCATAGTATCTGATTATATAGCATTAGAGAACTAAAGGAGTTGATGAAGTTTCTTTTTTTTTTTAAAGATTTTATTTATTTATTCATTTGAGAGAGCGAGAATGAGAGAGAGAGAGAGAGCACATGAGGGGGGGGAGGGTCAGAGGGAGAAGCAGACTCCCTGCTGAGCAGCGAGCCCGATGCGGGACTCGATGCCAGGACTCCGGGATCGTGACCTGAGCCGAAGGCAGTCGCTTAACCAACTGAGCCACCCAGGCGCCCCAATGAAGTTTATAAAAGTATTGCACAGCTAGGGTACACTCAGGGACTGTAGAATTTGGTCCAGATAATATCTAATCTCTGGAGGTAATAAGCAGTAAGAGATAGGACAAATTTAAGTTAGGTAGTCAAACTTACCTATGCAGATGGTTCCATCATTAGTGATAAACCTGTCCTGGTTACTGCTGGATCTGAAACCGGGGGCACACATACAGTAGTAACTTCCCTCTGTGTTAGTGCAGTTGGCATTTTCACCACAGGGCTGGGTCAAATTTCCACACTCATTATCATCTGTGGAAATATCAATTTAAAACATTATTTTTATATAATTGAAATTAATTTCTAATATTTTCCACCAGTATTTGGGAACTGTGACTGTTAAATAGTTTAATGTAATGCGATGTCAATATTTAGGAAAAGTTAACAGTACACATTCCACACTTATTTTTATTTATAATGTGACACTTCCTTTGTAGTTGCAAAGCAAACGGAATCTATTACTTCTGAAAACAATGAACACAGTTATTGAAAATATTATCAGAACATGTTCCAAATTTTATATGTAATTTAATAATAATAGCGTCAATACATTACACTCCTTTGTAAATTTATAATACTCTCTATAGTCAAAAGCATACCATAAGTTAAAACATCAGATATTACAAATTGACATGTTCTAATCATGTACCATTTATTTTTATTACTTATTCCCTAGAAGAATTTTGCATTACTAGGTTGACATCTCTTAACTTATTAATGAATTTATTCATTAAATACTATGTGCATTTTATTGTCCTATAGAAGAGCATACAAAAAAACTTATATCATAGTCCATGGTCCTTACCTTCTAGAATTTAATACAATTTGTCAGAAAATATATAGGTTCATAAGCCTTTGTAAAAATCAGAAAGCAAATTTATACTACCTATCAAGTAAATAAAACAGAAAATAAGTGCTTTTCAGAAGTGATCATAATAGGCTGGGGAGAAAGAGAATATCTTCAGGTGACATTAAATCTTGTGGGTTGAATTATGTCTCACAAAAAGATATATTCAAGTCCTAATCCTGTGTCTTGTGAGTATGACTTTAGAAACAGGCCCTTTGCAGATGTAATCAAGTTAAGACGAGGTTACACAGAATTAGGTGGGCCCTAATCCAGTGGCTGGTATCCTTATAATTAAATATATGAGAAATTTGGACATGAAAACACAGAGGAGAAGGCTATGTGGAAACAGAGGAAGGGCTTGAAGTGATGCAGCTGCAAGCCAAGGGATGCCAAGAACAGAATAGCTGGCAACCACTAGGAGTTAGAAAGGATTCTTCCCTAGACCCTTTGGAGGGAACATGACCCTTCCAACACCTTGATTTCAGACTTCTAGCTTCCAGAACTGGGGATGCTATGTTTGTGTTGTTTTGAGCCTCCAAGTTGGTGCTAGTTTTCAAGGCATCCTTTGGAAATGAATGGACCCGAACTGGCCAATCCAGGGTAGGTAAGTATTGGTTAGAGAGAAGACAGGTCATGAAAAGGAAGACAGAATGTTGGGCAAAGAAGCAAGCATAAGGTAACTGAAACACTTCTGAAGGTAGAGGGGAGCCAAATTGGGGAGCACAGAGAGAAACCATAGGGGAATCGCTCTAAAAACAAGTTTGAAAAATATCTTTAATTTTTATCCCCCATTTTTATCAAACCAAGTTTAATTTCTCTTTAAGAATGAACTGTATGACATTTAATTTGTACACAGGCTATTGCAGACATACAGTGATAAGTAAGAGTTGGAGATTTTTCCAAATGTTTTATAAATATGAATTCATTGAATCCTTATGTAAGCTCTAGGAAGAAGGTACCATTGTTATCCCGTCTAACTGCTGAAGAAAAGAAGGAATAGCGAGAAAAAGTAACTTGCCAACATCACACAGCTCTTCAGTTGCAGAGCCAGGTAGTTTGGTTCCAAAGCCTGTTCTCTTAACTGTTGCATCCTGCTGCTTCTGTGAGACTTATTTTAAAATGCCAAAATGTAAAATAAGAATTTATCAAATGAATTATGGGTCTATTTTGAGAGATGGAAAGATACTGAGGTAGTGATCTCTGAAGGAAAATGGAGACTTTATTTGCATGCTATTTTTTTTTTTATTTGAGAGAGAGACAGAGAGAGCATTCGTGGGGGGAGGGGCAGAGGGAGAGGGACAAGCAGCCTCCCTGCAAGCCGGGCTTGATCCCAGGACCCTGAGATCATGATTTGAGCTTAACCAACTGAACCACCCAGGCACCCCTGCATTCTATTTGTTTTTAAAGATTTTATTTATTTATTTGAGAGAGAGAGAGAGAATGAGAGATAGAGAGCACGAGAGAGAAGAGGGTCAGAAGGAGAAGCAGACTCCCCGCTGAGTAGGGAGCCCGATGTGGGACTCGATTCCGGGACTCCAGGATCATGACCTGAGCCAAAGGCAGTTGCTTAACCAACTGAGCCACCCAGGCGCCCCCCTGCATTCTATTTTTAACTTAAATTTTATTTCCACTTGCTCATTTTCAAACACTAAGGATATACGTATAGATGTTAACATATGGTAGAAACTAGGGGTGAATTCCTCCCTTTTTTCAAAAATGACTACTATGGACAGGTCAGGTAAGATTTGCAAATCCTATCCTTTCAAGATATTCAACTTATATAGTTCTATTCCGTAATTTTATTTTAATATTTATATGCTTTATCACTTTGACTTATTATATTAATTATAATAGGCTAAGTGCTATAAATGTATCCAAACATGTAATGGCTCAGCAGAATAAAAAGATTATTTACTGCTCTAGTCAGAGACCAAGGTTAGTGTTCTGGTCATTCTTTAACAATGGTTCAGGGACATAGGCTTGTTCCATCTAATGGCTCCACCACCCCATAGGGCCTCCAGGTTCTCTGTATTGATCCAGGTAGGGAGTTAGGGTAGAATAGGGCATAAAAGAGACCATCACTTTGGTCCACATTCTATTCACCAGAATTCATTTAAATGGCCACACTTGACTATAAAGGAGGCTGGTGGCCATAGGCCAGGAAGAAGAAAGAAAAGATTTTGAATAGTCAGAGCTTTCTGCCATATTTATTCTTTCACGAATACAATGACATTTGAATAATGAAAGCAGACATATATGAATACCAAAAAAGTTTACCAAATATAAGAAAATCTAGTTGATTCATACCAAACATATGTAAATTAATTGGAACACAAAAGGGAAGATAACATTATATTTTTGAAGTTACTGTAATTTCCTTAATCAATAAATATCATTTAAATTAGGCATATCCATTGCATTAATAGCTTTTACTCTTCCCTTGGCCAATCACTTATTTTGTATGTTTTTGATTTGTTTTGATATTTTGATATTGTGCCTCTGATGGAGGCTAAAAGAAGAACCATGGCCCTGCCTCTGCCCTTCAGAATCTGGGCATCTTGACAAGAGGGGAGGGGTAAGCAGAGAACAGAGAAATGCATATGTGGTGAAAGAAGACTCTGCAAGAGTAAATGGCCTCATTCCTTTTGCTCGAGTGGGGAAAGAGGGCAGAAGAGATTTATGGAGTCTGGAAGGTTGAGGTTTTCGTGCATTACATTTTTATATAATTCTATTTGGACATAATTTTACATATTATGGAACTATTAAAAAATGTTATGGAAGGAGAAGGAAATAATGTAATTGATGTCTTTTCACCTCCCACCTGACTACAGGGTAGTTTCTTACCTTGTGGCGTCCATGGGAGCACGTTTTAAGACATGGTTGTCTGACATGATTGCCACCATTCACTGAAGGCTCCCAGTGAACCAGGCATTGTACTAAGCACTTCATATACATTATCTGACACTCGTTTTTAATCCTCATATAAACCTAATGATGCAGACATGATTCCTATTTTACAAATAAAACTGAAATATAAAAAGTTGGATTACCTTGCCCAAAGGCACACAACTAATAAGTGGCAAAGTTTGATTCAAGCCTGGAGCTTTCTGAATGTCAAAGTGATCTCATTTTTCTTAAATACTACATTATAAAAGAGTTCATAGTGATAATAGCTACCATTTATTGAGTGTTTATTATGTGCTAGTCACTGTGATAGAAAGATTACTGTAAAATGGAAAATACGTTGTGACTACCTCAGAAAATTGTCACGGGGACTAAAGAAATTGATGTTCAGACAATTCTTAGAGTGGTGCCTAGCATGTAGTAAGCACTATGTACAGGCTGTTAATCTCCTTATTTAAAAAATATTACTATTGCTATTTAAATTGCTAGAAATCTGGTCCTGTTAACACCCTGCTTAAAATTCTTAACAGCTACCTGGCCTTAGTGTGTAATGTTATCTTTTCTCTATGTGGAAGGGAGCTTCTGAAATCTGGGAGCCAGTTTAAACCACTTATCTTTATACAGTATAACAATAAAGATATTTGTAAAGACTTTATAATGTAAGATCTTACAATTAGTTTTCCCATAGTTCAATTTTTAAAATTTCAGTAATTTATTTTATTATTTTTTAAGATTTTATTTATTTATTTGAGACAGAGGAGAGAGCAAGCATGAGCAGGGGGAGGGGGAGAAAGAGAGGAGTCTCTCCTGAGCAGGGAGACTGACACGGGGGTTCGATCCCCAGACCCTGGGATCATGACCTGAGCTGAAGGCAGATGCTTAACCGACTGAGCCACCCTGGCACCCCAAGTAAGATAAATTTTGAATGGCTTTATATAAACTGTGCTGAAAGTTAATACTTTATTAAGAGGTAATACTTTATTAACATGTGTGTATTTAATTATTAATTTATTCTGTATACAAGATATATTCTACAACTCTAATGACAATATATACATATATACTCAGAGCAAGCATATATGTTTATGTATGTATACACAAAAAACTATTAAAATTAACTGAGAGTAGCTCACAAATTGAACACAATCATTTAAATCAAGTAAAAGAAAAATATTTCATAACACGGGGTTTGATTCAATCATTTAGTTACTCAAATATTTATGGAGTCTCCTAGTTCCCAAATGTGAATATGGTCTATACTGGGAAATAAGTAAAAATTAATCAAAAAGTCAGGATATGTGCCCTGCTGTCAGAGTTCACATTCTAAAGCAAGTTAACACAGGAGCATATAATTGAGTTCTTATTAAAATAAAAGTTTCAATTTTTATCTCAAAATTTGACTCCTTTTACAGCATACTGGGAGAAGTTTATATTAACTTTAAAAGAAATTGTGCTCTCAGATCAGTTATTGGTAATATAGAGAACGAGGAAGATTGTATCC